ATATTGAAAATGTAGTTAAAGTTCTGAGGACATTACTGTACAAATTTAGGTATTTTAAAAATATTATAGATCCTTGTCATCTCAAAACTATTTATTTTGCTCTGATCGAATCTAGGTTAAGATATTCGATTCTTAATTGGGGAAGATCTGTCTTTTGTTACATAAAAAAGACAGATGTACTTCAGAAACGGTTATTAAAAATAATATTTAAGAAGAAACTTACGTACCCGTCCAAACTTCTTTTTTCGGAAGCAGAAATACTTGATATTAGACAATTATTTTTATTTATAAAAACAAAAAATGTTTAGAACTTGTAAATCACCATCACAAAATAAGATATAGAGAAAATCTTAATGTAGAGACACAATTTTTAAGAAGAAATGTTAGTATCCGAACATATTCACATCAAATAGCTTACAATCTATACAACTTATCCAAACTGAAAAGTGTCGCTCGACATTATATCATTTTAGCTTCATTACCATCTTCTACTGTATCGTTAGTATCGTTACTTTTAGCAATAAAACTGTCACCGATTACAGTCATTCGATATATTTAGATAAACAAATCCCACTGACTGCGCCACTGACCGAACTTCCGCTAATTCCAGTCGTGCCGAATCGGACTGCGACCTACCCCACCGAAAACTCGCCGACTAGTTCGAATGAGTTAGAAAGAGAAAGTTGCGACGAACGTAAGTGTAATTCGCCGTCGTCGGCGAAGTTTGCGGACTGAAGTTAAGTTTTAGCGGCAGTTTGAAATTAAACTTAACTTTTTATGGGGCTCGGCATGAATTTTGCACAATCGATATTGTTTACGTTTCGCCCCGGCTGCTGGAAAACCAAAAGTGATAGTCCGGTATAAGGATCTCCTTTATTTTCTTTATTAAAAAAATAAAATTAAGGTAAACTTCATCTATCCTTCTTTCACTTCATTTTCTTCATTTGCTTCGTATTTTTCATTTACTTCTCTTTTTTCTGCTTTTTCTTCTCCTTCTTCTCCTGATACTTTTACTTCCCCTTCTTCCCCTTCTTCCCCCTCTTCTCCTTATCTACATCTATCCATGTACCATATTAGATTCTTAGTTAAATATCTATTCTTTTCAGAGTATTACCCTTCTTGTCACCAATTTCTTCTTTACCGTCTAGTCTTCTAATTTTTAACATTCCATGCTTCTTTTTTTATGGCTCCGTGATGTTTCTGTTAGTCTGCTTATGTTTATTTTCTTCGTCTTCATGTATTCATCTTTATATTGTTATGATGTTGAAAAATAACACAAAAATATTCAAAAATCAAATTGTCAACATGAAATTCCCACAGAGCAATAAAAAATGCGAAAAGGAGATAATGCAAGAAAATAGATAAAAAGTGAATAGAATAGAGTGGTAGGAAACGCATAAAAATCAACCCAAATCCGATGCCTAAAATGGCAAAAGAGACAATGAAGAGATTCATGTTACATTATCAAAATAATGTGTCTTGATTAGGAAGGCTGAGTATGTAGAGATGAAGAAACAATGAGGATAAGGACTAAGAAAGTAAAATTAGCAAAATCTCAGTGAAGAATATATAAGGATCATAAATACCGAGCTCACGGAGATTCTGATGGCAGCAAAATAAATTACCAGTAACAACATCTCTGAAGGGAACGTGCTCATCTATACAGATTGCAGACAAGCAGTACTGACCCTAGACAGTCCACGAATTGGCTCAGAATAAGTATGAAGCTTTGGTCAAAATATCCATCATCAATGTGGTCATCTTCAGATGGATCAAAGGTCACTCCACATCGACAGGTCTTGCCAAGAAGGCAGCGAATCAAAAACTTTGTGGATCTGACCCTTTCATTGGACTGAGGATATTCCTTACTACTTTACAAACTTGAAAACGACCTCTGGTTATATATTCTTTACCAACTTTCTAAATTCCAACTAAAATCTAATCTACAATTAATGTATTTCAACACTTTCTTTTATTTCTATCTAGAATTCTTCTTCCTTTATCTCCTCTTCAATACTATTCTCTTCTACTTTGCTTTGTTATTTTATTTTTACAGTGGGTTCTAAAATCTTGTTTATTCTAATATTAACAAAGAAACAAATTTAAAGCTTGTAAGAGCTCCTTCTTATTTCTACGAGTATTGTTACAAATTTGCCAGCGAGTATAAAATGGCAGACCATATGAGGTACAGTCTGTTCGCTATACTTACGCGGGTTTCGGATTAACAAAATTATGCAAATTAGTCATTGACAACCAGTTCCAATAAGCCTCTTCCCAAGAAATTAGGTAAAATTGCTCTAATGGTCAGATTTCAATTAAAATAACATTAGGGTAGGTACTAAATTTGTTACAAATATTGCAGTTGAATTGATTCTTTGCAAGTGTTGATATTATATGTATATTGTAAATTAAGTGGAAATTTTAAAAATGCCTAGACGTGTGTTAGATGTAGACAGTCTAATTTGTAGTGTGCATAAGTATTTTACGGATGAATAAGAAAATAGCGGTCCTTTAAAATCGGTAATGTCTGTACAACAACGCGTATGCGATGCTCTAGGAATTAGTGAAACCAAATTAAGAGGAGTTTTCCATTTGAATACTGTGTCTTCATTAAAAGTCTGTAAACCTCATCTTCCAAACTGTTCTTCATACTATTTTAGTGCATTTGAATCTAACCTAAAACTAAATTGAATATCGTATCTTATTCAGTGTTTCAGTTATTTGATCGTCTATTTTGATACCAGTAAATAACAGAATGTTCACGTAAAGCAACTTTTAACTAGTGATACATCATACTGTTTCTATCTTCTTTATTGATACATATGTTGCTGTTTTTTTTGGCGTGCTCACTAGTTTGATAAGTCGCTATCATCCGCCAGCTACATCTACACTTTTATTGTAGTTTATCTACATAAATTCATATCCTTCTGACTGCGCCAATGTAAGAAAGTATCTCCAAAATCCGCTGAATGGTATTATCGAATAATTTAATTTAAATATCTCGCCCTAATTGCAGAAAACTTTCGAGACGCCGCTGCTCGGCTGGTGGGTAACTTTTTTCGTCCCGGCGAGCTGGTGGCAGCCAGCAACTCCAACTCCCAGAAACTCCACAACTCCGACCAGACTATGGTCGTCTGGAAGTAGGTACGAACTTTCGGACTACTTTCCAAATTTCAGTTTGTTGAAGACAAAGTTTACTTTCCAGAGATTTTTTTTTCATATTCATGACCTTCAAAGTCATTATTTATGGAGAAGTTTTCGACTGGCCCGATTTAAACTCTTTTTTATGACCGATTTTATCTGGATTTTAAAATGGCGTCTATTTTCGTTACAAATAAACAAACTAAAGACAGAATATTTCTTTGTTTTATATATAGTTTCTTTCTTTTTTTTACATCTTTATTATTTGAGGCAGTAAATTAATGTCCAGTGAATAGACTTGAGAGAATTTTTATGATTATTAGTTTATTAGAAATAAAATTTGGCAACACTGCACAAGTGAACACGAATAGACCACTAAAACAATAGCATAGCAGTTCAGTCATTAACTAAGAAAACTCCTGCCATTTTTAGATTTCTCAGTCATCTAATTCTGATTTGCTATATGAATATTATCGTACTTTACACGTTTTGCATTGAATTGGCAACATCGCAAATAATCGTGCATGCTCATTCCAAATAACTCATTGTGGAATAGTTTACATAAATACGATAAAGAACATTATTAGTGTACGAAATAAAAATGTCTAATATTATCACTAGAAGTTAGCCAACTACAACTGAAGAATCAGCAACTAGCAATTTGTCTACATAATATACTTAACAATCTTAAAATAATAGCGTCTTCGAATCTAGTGCACACGAAAGGTGGGAGATATGTCAATACCAGTTACTTTTCAATCTGAACTGTATTTGGTATCGATATATCGCTCATCTTTTATGTGCACTCCACGCAGGCAGGGCAGTAGAATCGAAGTCGCTATAAGATTTCATCCAGTAGTATCTTTTATCTTCTTTTTTCCTAGTGCTCAAATTTAGAAGATACAAAAATGTTTCTTATTTGTTTATTTATTTTTGATATCGTCAGCAAATAGTAAACATTGTGATTCTTTTAGCAGAGAACTTTCAGCAAAGATTTGATCCTTGAGGAAATCCAGAAGTAATATATTACATGTTGTACTACTCTGTAAATAACTTTTTGAAATGCCATCCATGAATTATTCCAAAATATTCTAATTTTCCATAATTAACTTAATCAAACGCCTTAGCAAGGTCTTTATAAAGTGTATCTATTTGAATCCCATCCTCAAATGAGTTATAAACATCATAATCTTTTATTAACAAATCCGTGTTGTAATAGACTGATGCTAGTCTGTATATGTATATGTCTATAAATCCTTTGAAACAAAATCTGTTCTAATAATTTGAAAATTGGCACACAGGTCGCAGTAGTGCTCTGCCTTAGGATTGTTCCCTTTAAGCATTCTTGTTATGAGTTTATTGTCCAAGAGTTACAAGATTTTAGTGTGTATTGGTCGTGCTGCCTTTTCTTGCATTTTTTAGCCATTTGTTACCTTCCTTTCATAACTATTACCATCTCTAAAATCCTTATTTACCATATTTGCATTTAGATTCCTACTTCTTCTAGTTATCTAGTATCTTAGTACTTTCCTCTCCCATACTACCATCTCTTCCTCACCTTTTTCGAATTCTTGGAGGTTATATTATATTATATTATATGTATCATCTTCACGTGCTCCTGTACCAATTCCCATCCAGCTCTACCTCCAGTCCATCAGCGTCAACAAATAAGTCTCAAACTCGAACACACGTCGCTGTCCTTTCCACTCCTGCTTAGTCCTGCTGCCGGACCCTATCCTAAGGGGTGGGCAAGGCTTCGCAGCTACGTAACACCGTAGAGAGGGCTGCATTCGAGCTGCGCGCGCCCCCTACCACCTCCTATTCGCTCTCTCTCGCCTCAACACTGTCCGCTCCTGCTGCTCCTGCCGTAAACTCGCAACTCCTGCAGTTGCAGCTGAGTGCGTGAGTTGTACGCACGTTTTATGATCCGAATGGTAGTAACTTCGAGCGATACGCGACTTTGAAAGTTGTTGCCGAAGTTTTAGAACAAGTTTTCGGGAGTTTTTGAAGATATTCCTGGTGTGCGGAATTTTTTCCAGATAGCGGAAAGTTGTTGCGTTACAGTTTTGGCAACTTGTTTTTTTGTTAATAAGAACTTTTCGTTTCAATCGTTTTGGACTTTGCGGAAAACTTTTTTGTGGGTTTTGAAGTTCGAGTGACTAAATTATTTTTCGGTTTTGACTTTTAGTATGAGAAGATGGTTCGGTGAGGGGGATGGTTGAGTTTTTTGGCGAAATAACGGGACACAAGGGGGGTGAAGATGTTAGAGGCAGTTTGTAATAATACCAGGTAGGATTTTTTTTTTCATTTACTATTATAATTAATACTTATAAAATTAGTAAATTTATAAAATATTTTTAGATTTTTTTTTAATAATTGAACATTTTTAAATTTTTAAAAATTTAAAAAAATAGAAATTAAAATATACCTCAAGTTTTAAAATAATTATTTTGTGTTAAGAAAAATAAAAAAAATATTAGTGGGGTTTAATTTTTAATTTATTTTTTCCTAAATTTTAAACAAAACCAACAAAAAATTTATAAAAATGTATTATGACATAAATAAGTACATTGTTTTTTTTTTATTTTTTCGAATGAAATTTGTTGAATAAATTTTAGGATTAATAAAATTGAAGAACAAAATTAAAAAAACGTTAAAACAAAAGAAGAGAAAGTGGAACATTTTAAATATTGTATGATACTAATTTAAAAAAAAGAACGTATAAGCAATTTTAAATAATTTACCAAGAAAAATAAAATATTCTAGAAAAAAAATTCAAATTAAAATAAAATAACTTTAAAAAATACGAAAATTCTGGTATAATTTATTTGTTTATAAATATAATCCACATAGTATATTTTACGAATATCAGATGAATAAAAAAACTGATATTTGAAGAAAATTTTTATGAAAGAAAAAGAGATCATATTTTGGTTAAAACATTATTTATTAACTCACAAACTTTTGCAATTTTTAGATTAAATATTTTAATAAAAGTACGGGACAAACATTTTTTTAAAAATTTACAAAATATACGCAATACTTTTCAAATATTTAATAAAACTTTTGAGAAAATACGAATTAGCAATATGAAGAATAGGAGAAAAATTTTCGATTTAATATATTTTTAAAATACTTTTTTATAGAAATCTACCTGTAATTAAAAAAAAAAAGAATAATCGGATAAAATAATGAAAAAAATAAAATATGAGTAAAGAAAATCTGCAAAAAATCAAAAAAAATAGAAACATAATATTATAAAGAATTACAAAAATGTAACAGACAAGCAATATCTATATTTTTTTGAGCCCTTTGGATTTTCCATTTGTCTAGTGAAGAAAGGAGTACAGTAATTTACTTTGCAGAAGGTAGTACAGGTTCAATAGGTACTCATTTTATTTAAACCTCATCCTTCAATGCTTATTCGTAATAAAATTTTTAATATATCTGATCAGCCTAATAAGAGTTTTTGTTTAGATTTAATGATGTTTTGAAGGTTTTTACTATAATAAACCTTTTCTTTTGACAGATAAGTCTGACTTTATTTATTAATTGATTCTGAATTTTTTATATATTATAATTTTACAGTTATATAAGAATGGTGAGTGCAATAGAAAATATTTACATTAACATTTAAATTACCTGATGTGCGAAATTTGTTTTTGAATGCAGTTTCAAATGCATTGGTCATGTTAAAGAATTAGAAAATTTATTTTGGAAAGTGGATATAGTAATGAAAAACTTAATAAACCCTATAATAATAATAATAAACCTCAGAAAAGTCAATTATAATGATACCAGTATTTAGAGAAAAGAGCCCAAATTTGAGACACTATTTTTAAAAAATAAAATAATATTTTGTTACAAAAAATGATAGTGTACTTTCTAAAAAATAATGTAATATAACCTTTTTACAAGTCTTTGGAAACAAAAAATAATAATTAATATTATCCATACTTAAAATAAAGCGGTTTTCTTAAAACAAAAAGAACATTCCTAATTTGAGACATGAGCGGGTTTAAATTTAAGATACTACTCAAGAAGAAACCCTCCCTTCACTTCGGATCTCTTTACAGTCTTCATATGCTTATCTACCATATTGGATGCATTTAGTCCATATTTCGCCATGTTTATCTTCTAAGTACCGACCCATACAAAATAGGCACTCAGCGTCGCTGCTACCGCTTTTGTCTGAAGAAGAATCGTTAAATTTGACACTCATTCTTTCAAGCATCTTAATACCTGACGTAAATGATGATTGGTAAATATCAGATACCGTAGATTTTGTCATATCATTCCTTTCATTTGACTTCAAAAAAAGGAAGAGGTTCTCAATTCGTCGGTATATTTTTTCTTATGTATGTTTAGCGATAATTCTTTAACACGATACCGATTTCAGTGATTCTGTTTTTGTTAGAAAGGGGGTACTTCATATGAATTTATTTAAAATCTGGGTCCATGAGAAAATCCTCAAACTCTTCATTTTTTATGTATTTTTAGCGTTTATTGTTTACCATCTTGTTTTATTTCAATGATTCTTTTTTTGTTGGTAAGGGGTACCTCAGGGGTGATCCCATATAAATTTGTTCAAGATCTGCACGATTTTAAAGTCGGTTTTTTAAAATTTCTTTTAATACTTGGTATGTTTTGAAGACTTTGGTTCAAAAACAGATCCTAGCTCTATTATAGCTCATCTTTAAGGAGTGTAATAATTGACGCTTTTCCAGTTCTAGAATTTACTTTGGTAGTGTTTTGCTTTTTGTACGTAGATAAAGGGAGCACAAGAACATTTTTAGAAGTTGCTGAAACCGGACTTGAGGTGCACTCCTCTCTATTTAATACGGAAACCTGCTTGAGGCAGTTAAAACGCTCCCAGTGTGATATATTTGCTCTTCTGCCACAGATTCTGCAGCTTCTTCCGAAATATTTAAAGCTGTTGAATTTTCTTGAGTTAGCTTCTCAGATTCGTAACCTTAGCTGTAATATGTTCAGATTGTTGTACACTAAAATTAAAGTCCTGTTTTTCGAAACCCGTTACAAGATATCTTCATTGCAGTAGCTCTGTTATTATAGACCCTGCGAAAAACAGCAGTTTTCTATTTTCTAGACGTTATACGTCTTTAGGGGCGACATAGAAATGCCAAAGAAGAGAGCAAAGCACCTCGGGAATTTTGAGTTAAAACATATGCCACATTTTTAGGCTATTTTAAGGCTATTTTTATACCCCATTCAAAAATTTTATGCTCCTCGTTTTTTGCAAAAATCAAGGTGCTCTGCTAGCTTCGAACGAAGTCAGCAGAGCACCTCAGTTTTTAAAGCTTTTTTCCAAAACCAACGACACTATAATTTTAGGCTATTTTTAGGCTCTTAAAATATTATAAAACTATTCGAAAAATTTTGTTATTTTGCTAGCTTCGAAGGAATCTAGCAGAGCACCTCGGTTTTTTAAAGCGTTTTTCTAAAAACAACTACACCACATTTTTAGGCTATTTTTAGGCTCTTGAAATATTATAAAACTTTACTATAAAATTGCTATTTTTAAATAATACAGGGTGCTTTGTTGGAGCAAAGTCAGCAGAGCACCTCGGTTTATTATTTTTTTCAGAAAACTAGTTATGCTATATTTTTAAGCTATTTTTAGGCTCTTAAAACAATATATAACTTTTGAAAAAAAAATTATGTTTTAAAGAATACAGGGTGCTTTACTAGCTTCGAACGAATCCAGCAGAGCACCTCAGTTTTTTTAACCTTTTTCTAGTTATTTTTAGAAAAAAGCTTTAAAAAACCGGGGTGCTCTGCTGGAAACGTTCGAAGCTAGCAAAGCACCCTTTGCTCCAATAAAGCACCCTGTATTATTTTAAAATGGCAATTTTTTGGTAAAATTTTATAATATTTTTTAATGTATTTTTTAAAAAATAATTTTTTTTAAAAAGTTATGTATGGTTTTAGGAGCCTAAAATAGCTTAAAAACGTAGCATAACTAGTTTTCTGAAAAAAATTATAATAAACCGAGGTGCTCTGCTGACTTTGCTCCAACAAAGCACCCTCTATTATTTAAAAATAGCATTTTTTTAGTTAAGTTTTATAATATTTCAAGGGCCTTAAAAGAGCCTAAAAATGTGGTGTAGTTGTTTTTAGAAAAAAATCTTAAAAAATCGAGGTGCTCTGCTGGAATCGGTCGAAGCTAGCAAAGCACCCTGTACTTTTTAAAAATAACAACATTTTACGAAAAGTTTTATAATACTTTAAGAGCCTAAAAAGAGCCTAAAAATATGGTGTCGTTGGTTTTGGAAAAAAGCTTTAAAAAACTGAGGTGCTCTGCGGACTTCGTTCGAAGCTAGCAGAGCACCTTGATTTTTGCAAAAAACGAGGAGCATAAAATTTTTGAATAGGGTATAAAAATAGCCTTAAAATAGCCTAAAAATGTGGCATATATTTCAACTCAAAATTCCCAAGGTGCTTTGCTGCCTTCTTTGGCATGACATAGAAGCTGCATCTAATAGTTGCATTGTATTTCTTGAATGTTGTGGAAGGCATATAAATAACAAGTGATTTGTTTAGGCCAAATTCAACGTTTCTAGTACCTATGTGAATAGTGACCGTCCAGTACAAGTAGAACTGAATCAGAAGCGCTATATTTTGTTAATTCTATAACTGCACCTGAAGGAGAAATTCTAATTTCATATTTTTCCTTGGAAATATTAATAATGGAGGTATGTATGTAGACTCTTTGAAACGAATCGACAAACCAACAAGTTCTGGACTTTTAAATACTCATTTGTTTATTTCTTGTGGCAATAAAATGTATTTTTTGTATTTAGTAAGCATCTGAAATTAAAATCAATCTAAATATTATTAAGTTTTTTGGATCCTAATTTAAGATACTCTAAAATTGGGACCCATCCATATGGTATTGTAAAAAAATTAAAACTTAATTCCTAGACTAGGTCTTTTTGTCATAATGTAATATGACTTAATATTACGTAAGCCCTTATTAATCAAAAAGCTCGTTGCTATTATCTTACCTTGCTTTTTTTGGCTATTTTTAATTTTGCCAAAAAAATTCCAAACGTAAATATTTGAATTTGTGCACCTGTTTATCAAATAAAGGCAGACAGGAAACTAAAAATGCAGCACATTAATAAATATGTTTATAATTTCTGCTTTTTTTGCGAGATGGCACATACATTAGAAGTAAGATAAATATCTCAAATTAGGCACCTATCTCAAATTTGGGACCTTTCCTCTATAGTGAAAAAGCTAACTTTTGTGGTTGTTTATATTTTAGG